GTGTTGTTGGAACCAGGATAAAAAAAGGCAGTAAGAAAAGGAAAGCGTTGTTAGGAAATGGCTGGAGCTATAACTTCATCTTCTCTTCAGGACCTCTGTCCATTCCTAGTTTCAAAGTGTGTTTGGTTTCTTGCTATGCCTGTTCCCTGGCAATTGGGTCTGAAAATGCATGTAACCTTACAAGACACCTAAGACTTCCTTTTTGGCTACAACTGGGGGGAGCAGTAGGAATCTGTGCTTCGTTTTGCCTCCAACCTCTATGTAGTCTACCTGGATGAAAGTAACACAAAAATAGAGAAACAAAACAGCACCCCTGAGTTTTAAACTTCTGAATGCAATAGGACCTCAGTATTTCAGTGGCAGCCTGTCCTCTGTGGTGGCTGCTCTTGATGAGAATCCAATGACTTACAATATCCAAGATGGAAGGTGTAGGGCGTTAGAGGCATGACCTTTTCTCCTGAAGCCTTTTGGGTGTTAGTTTCCTACCAGGAGATCAAGATGAGCCAGGCTTAGGATGGGAACCTTCTGTTGCACAGTTATGCTAACATCTGATAACATGGACATAAATTATTTTAATTTCCATAGATTAGCATCTGATTCTTGATACAGTCAAGAGACATTGTTTTCTGTGCTTCAGATGAAATCCGCCTTTTTGAAATCTGACATGCTAATTTTGCTGACTTCATGCTTTCCCTGTCTCGGGATCTAGAATACTGTTGTACTGTGATCACTTCCTCCCAAGTTACCCATCACCTTCACATCCTCTACCAATTTTTCTCTATTAGTCAGGACAAGATCCAAGACAGATGATCTCCTAGTTGTATCCTCCACTTTCTGGAGCAAAAAGTTGTCCTCCACACAGGTTAGGAACCAGCTTGACATTTTATGTTTGGCTGCATTTTTCTTCCAACAGATGTCTGGAAAATTGAAGTCTCCCATCAGTACCATCCCACAGCTTTTGGATAGATTTGTCACCTGCTTGAAGAATGCCTCATCCACCTCCTTTTCCTGACTGGGTGGCCTATAATAAATCCCCACCATTATATCAGTGCTGCATTTTTCACCTTTCATCTTCACCTTTTGTCTTCACATTCTGTTTTGCAGTCTTCTTTCTCCTGAACCAGGGAAGAGGGTATGTGCTTCTGTCATACAGGGCAACACCACCACCTTTTCTCCCAACACTGTCTTTCCGGTTACAGAGTGTAACCCTTGATGATGACATTCCAGTCGTATGCGCTATCCCGCCAGGTCTCAGTGGTGACAATCAGATCATGGTTCTTTTCACAGGCTGCAGCTTCCAGCTCATCTGGTTTATCCCCCATACTTTTTGCATTTGTTTACATGCGTTTGGACGTCTTTTGCATTTTGACCTCCTTGCTTCCCTTTTGTGCCACTAGTTACAGTCCTGTAGTTCTCTGGCCTTTTCCCAGAGTTGAGTTGCTTCTCTGAGTCCTTTCCCCTCTGGACTGCTTGCTCTGTTGCTGGATGGTTTTGAACACCATCCCCTGTGGAACCTAGTTTAAAGGTTGACCAGGTGATGCCCAAAGATGCTCTTCCCCATTCCCCTTAGATAGATCCCATCTCTTGATAGCAGTCCTCCTCCCAAGAGCATCTGCCCGTTGTCAAAGAAGCTGAAGCCTTCGTGTTGACACCACCATCTCAGCCACACATTCACTTCCAGGATACAGTGGTCTCTGCCTGGACCCTTGCATTCCACGGGGAGAATCGATGAGAACACCACTTGTGCCCCAGACTCCTTGATCCTCCTGCCAAGAGCCTCATAGTCACCTCTGATCTTCTTGGTGTCATTCTTGGCAGTATTGTTGGTGCCTACATGGGCAAGCAGGAACGGGTAGTGGTCTGAAGGATGGCTGAGCTTTGGCAGTCTCTCTGTGATGTTCTGAATTTGGGCCCCCGGCAAGCGGCACACCTCCCAGGCCCCCAAATCTGGAGGACAAATTGGTGTCTCTGTACCCTGCAGAAGGGAGTCACCAACTACCACCACTCTCTTCTCTTCCTTCTTGATACAGTGTTCATGAAGCCCCTGACCTTGGGGCCTTGCACTTCTTGCTCTCTAGGCTGCTGCTTCTTCTGCCTCATGCCTGCAGGTGTCCTCTCCTCTGCTTTTTCCTCAGCAGTTCCATTGGAGAGTGCTTGAAAGCAGCTACTGACATCAATCCGCTGGTCTTCAATTCTGGGAGTCGTTCTTCAAATAGTTCCATGCTGCTACTTGTCCTCCTTGCCTTTTGGGTTCTCCACTACCAGCCTCTCATAACTCTTGTCCAAGTAATCTTCTTGGTTCCAGATGCAGTACAGCATGGATACCTGCATTGGTAACGTGTACAGGGTGCGTGCGGGTGCATGTGCACCCCCTGAGATAGGCCATGCTCATCCTGAGAAGCGCCGGCGGCACTTCCGGGCTTGCTACCAGCATTTCCACTGACAATTGGCTGGGGGGGGGGGGGCCCCCCCCCCCCCGGGCGCG